TAACCATAAGATTGTTTTCTGTGTCTGTGAGTCTGTTTCTGTTTTGCATGTAGATTCATTTGTATTATTTTTTCAATTCCACATGTAAATGATATCATATAGTTTTTTTGTTTTTGTTTTTGTTTTTTTGCGGTACACTGGCCTCTCACTGTTGTGGCCTCTCCCGTTGCGGAGCACAGGCTCCAGACGCGCAGGCTCAGCGGCCATGGCTCACGGGCCCAGCCGCTCCACGGCATGTGGGATCTTCCCGGACCGGGGCACGAACCCGTGTGCCCCGCATCGGCAGGCGGACTCTCAACCACTGTGCCACCAGGGAAGCCCTCATATAGTTTTTATCCTTCTCTTCTGACTTATTTCACTAAGCATAATATTCTCTAGTCCATCCACCTTGTTTCAAATGGCAGAATTTCATTCTTTTCATGGTTGAGTAATATTCCATTGTATATACACACCACATCTTCTTAAGCCAATCACCTGTTGATGGACAATTAGGTTGTTTCCACATCTTGGCTATTGTAAATAGTGTTGCTATGAACATCAGCATACATATGTCTTTTCAAATTAAGGTTTTCATTTTTTCCGGATATATTCCCGGGGGTAGGACTGCTGAATCATATGGTATTTCTATGCTTAGTTTTTTAAGGAAACTTCATACTGTTTTACATAGTGGCTGCACCAATTTACTTTACCACCAACAGTGTACAAGTGTTCCTTTTTCTCCACAAGGAATGAAGCATCTTAAATTACAGCTGCTAATTTGTCCCTCCATGATTTTGCAAAAACTTTACAAAATTGTCCAGTTGCTCATCTAGAAAAAGAAACATTCAAGAAGGGGTAAGAAAAAAGATTTAAAAGAATAAAGGAGAACTTGCTATACCAGATTTTAAAACTTAGGATAAAGCTGCAATAAATAAAACAGTGTAGTACCAGCATAGCAATAAATGGCTAGACCAATGGAGCATGCACCAAAAAAACTCTATATATGGCTTCTGCCATATATATATATAAAGAGAGAGAGAACATTTGTGGTGTAACCTGGATTTAAATTCCAGTTGTATCACTTCCTAGCTGTGTGCTCTTAATCAAGTTAATACTCTTACTGAATATAAATTACCTAAATGTAATGGGGGTGATGATATGTGTCTTGAAAGGTGTGAGGACTTGAGGATCAAATGATATCCTGCATGTATCAAGCCAGGTTTTCAGTTCCAAGTAACAGAGATAAACTCTGGCTAACTGAGGCAGAAGAAGAATTTATTCAAGACTATCATGTGGCTTACAGAATTTCTGAGAAGGTTGGAGAACCAGACATGGGGAAAGGAAAGATCAAGGAAGACTAGGTGGGAGCCAGGACAGCAGAAATTCATGGCACCAAAGAGCATGCGGAGACTTCCAGCCCCACCACTGAACACCTGGCTGCCACAACTGGCCCTGCTCCATGAGCTCTTGGAAAGCAGAAATTGTTGACCTAACACAGCAGAATGGCCCTTGGTCACTCCACCGTCCCGGGATCAATAAATCCAGTTGTGAAGCCTGAATGGGTCCATTGGTTGATTGAGCCTAAATCACATGTTCCTCGCCTGAGTGCAGAGGAACATGGGAAATAAGCTCTTGGCGTTTTCAGGTTTTATAGTCAAGGCAAGCACTCTTTCCCAGCAAGAGTCGTAAGACAGAGAATTTACCAAACAAAGGAAGGAACTTCAGATTCTGAGTCACATAGAAGATGCACAAGCACATTACAAAAGATATCAAAGCTCCTGACACATAAGAGGCATTCAGTAAATGGTGACTATGAATATTTTCCTGAATCAGTGGGAAAAAGGAACAATCCATCATTCAACAAATGGTGCAGAGACCATTAGTTACTTGGGAGAAAATAATATACAATTCGCCAAAGTAAATTTCAATTGGATCAAAGATTAAAAAGAGAAATCAATCTACAAAAAATTACACATCCCACTGTGCCCATCAGTGCCTCCTGACCCACCCTGAAGGGCCTTGTTTTACACATCTTTGAGTCCTATTATGCCTGGCTCAGTGCTTTGAACATAGGAGGCTATCAAGTCATGATAGAGCAAGAAACCTGAATTGCTTAACCTTAACTGGATAACTGTTTTGAAGTGTCTGGTAATGGTTTCAGCTTTGAGACCTAATTTAGATAAAGTAACCTCTCTGTTCCTCAATTTCCTTTCTTTTAGAAGAACCAGTACACTTACATTGCCTATTGCCCACATAGTGCTACATTGTGCCTAACTTCACATAACATCAAATATTGATTATTTCAGGCTCGATGAAACAATTCATAGATGACAGCTCTTAAGTTCACAGATGGACAGCTTTCCAGAATATATACCACTTTTTCCTCTCTTATCTGTAATCCTTACTGTTCCCAACTTCCAACTGCCACTCCTATATCCAGTTCTGAAAGACTAGTCAAAAATGAGTGAGGCTGGTCAGAAATATCTCTTTTCTAGCTGTATTTCTTGTTGGTTACATTTTTCTTTTTAATTTGATACTTTTCTCTGATGTTAGAATAGATACAGGATCTGAAACATTACTTTCCTCATGATTGAAGTGATTTTTGCTTTTCTTTTGGCTTTCTAAAAGCTTCTGATATTATTTAATTTGAGACACCACTTTGAGACCCTTAAATGCAAATAAATGAAATATGTATATTACTAATGCTGCTATTGCAAAAAAAAGAGGGAAAAATCCATCTCTTACATATACTATATTTTCATATTTAAATCTTAAGAGCAAAAACACTGTTAGCCATGATACATCCCTAAATAACACATAAGTAAGGATTTACCGTCTCTGAAAAATTTTCAACTCCAGACCTGAAAAAGGCCATTTGCTGCCCCGTCTGATTCATCTCTGAGAATGAAAAGAACCAAAAGTCATTTCCCTTTAGTACAAACTCTCTTTCATATTTTATTTGCTAATGTACAGCTAATTTCTGAATTAAGAACATGCTTACATGAAAGGTTAGGAAGCTATCCACTCCAATCCATTAGTAAGTCTGGTTTTGACTGAAATTTTAAATAACTTTTGATAATTATTGCATCTTGGCTTTTGGGTTTCAAATAAGATGAAAGAATCTTTTTCTTTTTGATTTAAAATTACAGTAGATTCAGCCCAGTCAAAAGATTCCAGAGTTTCTCCCAATGAAACATTTTGCGAAAGTCCTTAATTCTCACAAGGAAAATATGTGCTGACTATATATGCCCATCACCAAATTTTAAGTGGTCATAGTGTTGAACTATATTTGTAATGAGGTCAGAGGTCAGAAAACTTTTTCTGTAAATATCCAGATAGTAAATCTTTTAAGCTATGGTCATATGGACTCTGTCACAACCTCTCAACTCTGCTATTGTAGTGCAAAATCCACCATGGACGCTACACAAATGGCTGAGTATAGTTATGTCCCAGTAAAACTTTATTTATAAAAACTGAAATTTGAATCTCATATAATTTTCATGTGACATGAAATATTATTCTTCTTTTGATTTTTTCCAGGAAGTAAACATCATTCTTAGATCATGGGCAATATAAAAACAGATGGTGGGCCATATTTAGCGAGTGGGCCATAGTTGCTGACCCCTGCTTAAGGTGAACAAGGGATGAAATTCCTAAGAAGTTTTTGCTTTTATTGATGCCCAAACTTTGCCATATCTTGCATAATTCAAGTCCAAATTCTTTCAATTTATGCTATACATTCATTTAAAAGAAGGATGTGGCTGTTATGTGCAATGATATTGAATGCTCTCCCAGACACACGTGTGGAGTAGGCTCTCATTTATGTTTAAAAAGGCAAACTATATACACATATATACCTCATATGCAAAGACCTCATGAAGGATACACCAGAAAATTGTAACAGTAGTTGCCTCCATCAAGGGGAATTAGCTGACAAGGGACAAGAGTGAGAGGGTGACAATTTTCACTATATACCTTTTGGCTTTTGCACCATTTAACTGAAACTACTTTTTATTTTTAAATTTTTTATACAATTTTTCAAGGTTACTTTCCACTTACAGTTATTACAAAATATTGGCTCTATTCCCCGTGTTGTACAATACATCCTTGAGCCTGTCTCACCCCCAATAGTCTGTACCTCTCACTCCCAGATCCCTGTATCGCCTCTCCTCCCCCCGACAGTGGTAACTACTAGCTTGTTCTCTATATCTATGAGTCTGCTTCTTTCTTGTTATATTCACTAGTTTATTTTCTAGATTCCACGTGTAAGTGATATCATACAGTATTTGTCTTTCTCTGTCTGACTTACTTCACTGGGCATAATGCCCTCCGAGTCTATCTGTGTTGCTGCAAATGGCAAAACTTTATTTTTTTATGGCTGATTAGTATTCAAATGAACCTATTTTTTAAACAATACATTAAATTTTCAAAATTTTCAATGCTGAAAGGAATGACTAGAGGGATCTGAAGCTGGTACTTAATATCCTTCAAATTAAAAGGGGCCCAGAGCAAGAGTACCAATGAAGGTCCTGGCCCAAATGATTCCAATTTGAATTCTCTTAAATTCATTTTCACTGTCACTTGTCATTTGTCCTGTGTCCCAGCCTTGCATAATCTGCTAATCTGGAGATCCGAATTTCTGTCGTTCTACTCATTGCAGTCTGTAGATGAACTGACAGAGATTCCGTGATTCCCAGAGCTCCTTTCATCAGCTAGAGGCCCTCTTATGAAAGGTGCCTAGGAAGGGAGGGAGGAGGGAGGAAGGAAGGGAGGAAGAAGGAGAGTATGCAACAGAGACCATATGTGGACACTCAGAGCTGGGAATAGTTACTATCTGAGGCTTTACGGACAAATTTGCCAACCCTTGGTTTTGGAACAACCAAGAGGGTAAATAATATCTTAGAGGTCCAGCCCTTGAAAGAAATCAGGTAGCAGACTGAGAGGGTATCTGTTAGCTATTTTCACAATAATGCTGCATAGCAAGCTATCCCAAATCTCTGTACCCGAATATCGCAGTTTACCTGTCTGTGGATGGGCCAGGCTCAGTTGCAGCAGCTCTGCTGATCTTGGCTGAACTCACTCATGCATCTGTGGGGTAGGGGGTGGACTGAGCTAACACAGGCAAGGCTAGGCTGGGGCAGTCTGCTCCACACTGCAAGTCTGCAGGTCTGGATCTCCACTGCTGTCTCTCCCCTTCCTTAAACCAGGCGGCTAACGAGGATAGGCTCTTCTCATGGCTGTGACAGAGCCCGAAAGAGAGTGGAAATGTGCAGCAGCTCTTAGGGGCCTCCGCTGGGAACTCACACATCGTCACTTACTTCCCCAGCCTGCCATCCGTCAAAGCAAAGCAGCAGGGAGATAGTCACCTCCCTTAGAGGAGATGCCTAGTCTCACGGCAAGGATGTGAAGAAGGGAAGAGGGAGAATTGGGGCTGATGATGCAGACTGGAGCTCAATTCACCACATACTGAGCGCCAACACATGCCAGGCGCTCTTCTGTGCCAGGGAGCTATCAGCAAACAAGACTGCCTGTTGTCCCTGTGCGGGAGCTTAATTCTAGTGGGATATGGAAGGGATTTAACCGTCAATGCTACCTCCTTCTTGTCTGTTTTGTTTCGTTTCACTAACGGATGAGCCCTTTGGCATGTTTGCTCCTGGAGGCCAGGAATCATCTCTGCTTGGCCAGCTTTGTGTCTCCCAGCACCCAGCACTGGGCTTGGGGCAAGGCAAATGTTCACTAATAAGTGAGGGAGGAAGGGAGGCATTTCCTCTCTCTCTTTTCTGGGAATCACTGAATCTCCGTCAAGTCACCCACAGATTGCAAGGAGTGAAATGACAGAAATTCAGACTGGGACACAGGACAAATGACAAGTGACAATGGAACTGGATGTAAGAGAATTTGAATCATCTGGGTGAGAGAGCCCACAGATGGCACATGTCTGCTCAGTGTAGAAAAATGGGTCATGGCTCCCAAACCAATCACTACACGGCCTCAGAGACCAGAGAGAGGAGCAGAGCCTTTGTGCCACAGGCTGGTCGTGGAAGAGCATGGATAGATTTGTGGGGACTCTCTGACACATGGGGACCGATGCTCACAGCAGGATGGCAAAGCAAGCACAAGAGGGGGTGCTGTGCTCAATGAGGTTCTTGACCTTCGCCTTCCTGGGTAGACTGAGGGCGAGGCTGGCCAGAGGGTACCAGTGCTACTGTCACCATGGTGCCTGAAAGCGAGAGCCAGCCCTTGGTGTCCATGATGGCTGGGGACAGGGAACCAGAGGTCCTCACCCCAGCCCAGCTCTGCTTCCTGAGAAAGGCTCCTTGACCTTGGTTCCTTCATCTGTGATGTAGGCATTATGCTACCTGCCCTACTCACTTCACAGGATTTTAGTAAGATTGCAAGAAACAGCAAGTGTAAAAATAAACCCAAATAAGCCCGACTCAGAGAAGATGGGTAGGATTTGGTCTTATCTTCAGAAAAGCTATGCTACTCTGCATTTGGGGAGGGGATGGAATGCATGGGGATAAAGAAATTTGAGAACCGTGCAAGAGATTGTTTCCAAAGTTGAAAGTGAGACAGGATTCACTGAGGAAAAGAAACCGTGAGGAATGATTTTCCAGAGCTTGAGTTGTGAAAGTTTCAGAGGCCCAATTGCTTCTCAGGACGGTGATAACTGTGGGAAATAAATTACTTTTGAAGTTAATTGAAGCATAGTGCGAACAAGCCCAAAACACACCTACATCCCTTTCAAATGAAAGGGAATAGAGACATTAAGAAAGAAGGTCAAGGGGGGTGGTGAGAAAGGGGGCAAGGAGGCCAAAGGTCAATGTTGAAAAGACTAACGTGTTCTTTTTCTCAAACGGTTGTGATCTCAGACGCGGTGTTGCACGGGCAGGCAAGTCCCCAGCCCAAGAACACCCTGTCCCTTCTGACCTGCCAGGGGAGGTTGCAGCAGTACCTGCCATCAGAACGTGCCCTGTAAGCTTCATCTGATGGTGCCCCGGTTCCTCTTCAGGGACCATCACTGTCACTTTTATTTCAAACCCTTCCTCTCCCAGACCTGCTGGGCACTAAGAGGAGGAGGGATAGGGGTCACAGCGACGTGGAAACAACTTTATACATCCATTGGCCTGAGGGCAACAGCAACAATGGAATTTATGTAATCCATGAAAGCACAGAATTGGGTAGTAAAACTGCATAACTCATCTCTCTTTAAAAAGCGAATTCTCACCAAGTGCCATCCTGATAACATATGAGGAGCATCGCTCTCATCTGGACACACCTGCCCCCCTAAAAATGAAGTGCCTGGACGCCTCTGAGAATTATGCAAATGTAAGCAGCATTTACACATCGGGGTGATGCATCGAGGATCATAAGGTGTTTCCAGGTATGAGTTACAAGGCCTCTAAAGGCCATGACTCCTTTATAGGGTTTTAGATTATGGTGATTTTCTGTAAATCTGGCCCGAGCCACAAAATCGGTCAAGAGCAATTAACATTAATTAAACGAGCCCCGTAAAGAGGTTGCTGCACTGACACACGGATAACCTGTAAATGCACTGAGCATGTGAACGTTCTCGAGGGCTTGCCTTCCACGGCTCCATGGGTGCAAGGCGGGCCCCTCCTGCCCCAGGACTGCACACACCTGAGCGTAACACTGATCAGCTGGAACCCAGCCCTGGGACCACCGCTCTGCAGGCTGAGCCACCTGAGGATCCTGTTCAAATGAGATTCTGACTCAGTAGGCCTGGGGTGGGGCTTGAGAGTCTGCATGTGTAACAAGCTACCCGTCGGTGCCAAGGCGGCTCCACCCCAGACCTCACTCAGAGAAGCAACAGAAGCCCTCTTGACAGTCCCGGGGGGATGGCCCAGGTCAGGGTCAGGGTCAGGGTCGGGGAGAGAAAGCCAAACCATCCAGTGCACTCCTAATGCGCTGGCCTTTCTGCCCTGCTTTTCTAACCGCCAGGGAGCTACGGCCGAGGAGGAATACGCAAGCGTGTATTACGCAGACACTGAAGTTAACCTCTAAGTCACCCCAGGTACTGGAAGCCTCATCTTCTATAGAAAGGAGCAGAGATAAAAATCAGCCACTGAGAAAGACGAGTCCAGGAGTATCTCCACCCTTGGGTTCTCTGTATCCTGCACCTGCCTGGTAGAGTGAGCCGCCAGGGATGCCGCGGCCCACCACTATGATGTACGGCTTTTCCAGAGATGGAAGGATCGGGAACCCGGTAAACCTCTCAGTAGCGCCAAGAACCCTTATCCCTAGGCACAGCCTCCCTCTCTGATTTGACACCACGGTGCACAGAGAGGACCTGGATTTAAAGGCCGGTACAGCATGTGGCCAACAGTGAGGGGGAGGGGGACTGTGCAGGCAGGCAGGCAGCGTGTGTGTGTGCGCGTGTGTGTGCGCGTGTGTAAGGAGAGAATGTGAGCAGTGGGGGTGGCAGGCAATGGGCAAAGGTCAAATATTAAAACACAGTTGGCTGAGGAGCTTAGGCAGGACTGACCGTGGTGTGGTGACAGCCATGAGGAGTTGGCCAGCAGGAGGAAGGAGCATTCCGTCAGGACTGGGACAGAAAAGTCAGAGAAAATAGTACAGAGAACAAAAGAGAGAAGTTAGGAGGCTCTCAGCACCCATCTTTGGGAGTAGATGTGAGGTATGGAGCCGCCCTATAAAACTGTAGGCCAGCCAGTCATAAAACTATATTATATTATAACAATGTGTCTGCAGAAAGCATCGGTAACAATGTATTGCCTGTGGCAGTTTCCACTTCAATTCCTTAATGATGTGATTGAAATTAGAAGTGTACCATGAGGCCATGGAAAGGGGCCTGCGTACTTTTCTTAAAGCAACCTCGTATCAATTTTCTGACCCAAAATAAAGTCCAGCTTGCAAAAAGTGGGGGAGGAAATGGGGGAATATTTGCTTGGGTGGATGAGATCTTAGCAAAAGAAGTCACAAGGGCCGTGCGGGGAGAGCCCACGGGGATACCTCCTTTACACAGAGAGCTCTTGGATTCCTTAGAGACTGGAGTCATCTGACCAGGAAATTTGCCCTTGAGCCTGTGGCCTTTCCTTTTTCTTCTCTCTGTGACCCTCCCTCTGTAGCATTTTCACTGCAACTCAAGCCAAGTCGGCTATTTATAGAGCAGGAACAATTTTACCACAGGGTGTGGTGTTTAATTTGAAAAGACGTCAAAGAGCGAGGGGCAGATGGCGGGGCCAGCCGTGCCTCTCGGTGACCTTGATGGGACCCCCAAGCCCACGGACTCACCCTGAATTTCATCCATTCGATCCTGAGTTGATCAAGCTCTGGGGAAGAAAGGATAAATTGATAATTCAGGTGCCTGCTTATTAATTTCTAGAGGATCTAGAAATGAGAGCAATTCAGATGATCCATTCTGAAATTACTCCATTTGAGACACAATATATATCACAAGATCACTTGGATTTGGAAGATCCCAAATCTTTTTTTTTGGGGGGGGTACATAATACAAACTGTAATGCTATGCTACCATGTGGTCCGATTAAACATTAAGCATCAATTCAGCATCTGGTATTAGCTACCATGGAGGCAGGTTTGGAGGTAACAATGGCAACGGCCGTTCCCTGCCCTCAAAGATCCAACCATGTATTAGAGGCGGAATTACTATTATTATGAGTAACTTACTTAGCTTTTTCTCCCTGGCTGCAGGAGAAAGTTTAAAATGTATTGATGCCAAGGTTCTAGCCCTGACCAATGAAACCAGAGCCCCTGGGATGGGACCAGCAGTATTAGTATATTTTAATAGTTCCCAAGGTATGATGGTCAATTGTATGTATCGACATGACTGGGCCACAGGGTGCCTGGATATTCAGTCAAACATTATTCTGGTGTTTCTGTGAGGGTTGAAGGTCTGAATAAAAGTAAAAGGCTGACCCTCTCCTGAATAAGAGGGAATTCCTCCAGCCTGGTTGTCTTCATGCTGGAACATTGTTTTTTCCCTACCTTTAAACTTGAACTAAAGCATCGGCTCCTTCTAGGTCTTGAGTCTGCTGGCCTTTGGACTAGAACCACACCTTGGCTCTCCTGGGCCTCCAGCCTGCTGACTGCAGATCTTGAGACTTGTCAGCCTTCATAATCATGTGAGTGAATTTCTTATTTTATATATATATATATATATATATATATATATATATTTCCTTTGGAGACCCAGGTGATCTTAATATGAAACCAGCATTATTAAGAACCACTGACCTATAAATAACAGACGAGGGAATGATTCTTTCTGCCTGGCGAGGAGATTTCACAAAAGCCATCACATTTGA